GAGGAGGCGGCGGCTTCCCCGGCCGGGGTGGAGGGTGGTGGGGGGCTCCGGGAGCTTTTTGTGTGAGGTGAGCGGGACGTTCCCGGGCGTTTCTCCGTCTGGAGGGGTTGGAGGGAGTCCCGGGACCCTTCGGACGCCTTCGCGGGTCGTCTTCGCCGCGAGAAAACAAAAAACGGAAACGTGAGCGCGGGTTTTCCTGCGGTCGGGGAATGCGTGAATGGGAACGATTCCGTGGGTTTCCTCGAAGGATGGACACGCATTCCTGGGGACGTGTCTTTTCCCCGAGTGACAGTTGTTGCGGGGGACAGATGTGCTCCGCGTAGCTGCTTTCCACAATGGGAACTCGGGTTGGAATCGATGGTTGTCAGTTTACTCCGGCGAAGGAAGGAGTGGAAAGCTTGGTTAGCAACAGAATCAGACTCCCAGGCACCGAAATGTTGAGCGACAGCACTGGCAACCCAAACCTGAAGTTCGTTTGTGTCAGAGGCTGCACAGCAAATGTTAAAACAACAGCAACAACACGTGCAAAACACCCCACACCCTTTCAGCGCCTGGATGCCAGTTAATCCTCATAGCTACTGTTTGTTAAGAACTTACATAATGTAAGTATAGAAAACACACCTAAGTGCATTGACTCCCCACAACGACTCAGTCAGGGCTCCTGGCAGGTGCCCTCTTTATAGATGTAAAAACTGAGGTACTGAGTTAGGGCTGTTTCTCAAACCTCTACACTTGATACATACACCTAAGCGGCATAGCCCACTTCTCCTTTTCGGTCATCTGATGAGCACTTGATACTGACTGCTCACTTTCAGGTTTTGCTCTAACAACACACATTTCAGATTGGCGTCTTTCTGGTTCCTGGAATATTCTTGAGCTCTGAGGCCTGCATTAGGGAAAATAAGGGTGTTTTAACCTTGGCCTGAAGAGAGAGGCAAGATAACTATGTGCTCAGGTGGGGGAATACATATAATTATGTATCAAACATAAGTAACGTTTTCACAGCATTGCTTGAGTAGGGTGGTTTATTATTTTCCACCTAGGTTAAGAAGTGTTCTTGCATTTAAGTAACAGTATTGACATGGATGCTCAGAAAGCCTGGCTTAGTCTATGTGGGTGCTCTGAAGGAGCATGCAGTGTGCTTAGGCACACGCGATGCTTTATGACTGAAAGCCTTGCCCAGGTTGGTTATGTTGATATTTCAAGCCCATCCTTTCATACAGTTGAAAGAAGCTCATTCTTTCCTCTATAACTTAGCTTTTCTTGAATAACTTGATGTTGTTCCTTTTACTCTGAGAATTAGTTGTGGGTTTTTTAAAATTTAGTTGTACAGAGGGGTTACAGTTACATAAGTAAGGTAATGCGTACATTTCTTGTGGAACAGTGTTACTCCTTCCCTCCTTTTCTTCCACTTCCCCATTCCACTTCCCTCCCCCTCTGAAGTTGTAAAGTTCATTTCCAACATTGTGTCTTAATGAGGATCGCTGTTACATTGGTTCACTCTTTGTCCTATGTCTCCATTTCTGTGTTTTCCTCTTCCCATCCCCCAAATCAGATAAACATATATACAAGGCACAGGGTACCTGTGTCTTTTGGTTCCTTTACCAGAGCTTGAATTGGGCCTAAGCTCTGTCTCTTAGCTTTTTTTGCTCAAGGCTGGCTTTCTAGCATTTGAGCCACACCTCCCACTTCTGGCTTTTTGGCCATTAATTGGAGATAAGTGTCTCAGTTACTTTTCTGCCAAGGCTGGCTTTCAATTTCGACCCTCAGGTCTCAGGTAGGATTAGAGGCACCCTGATCTGTGTTTGCTTTCTCTTCTGTATTTGCTTTCTCTCCAACATAAATTTTCTATGGAAAATGTTCCTTTGCCTCTGGTATACGGTTTAGTACTACTTCCTCTATAAATATTCTGTGTGACAGTACTGTTTACTTTTATTTGTATTTATTTGTTGTTTCATTTTTATTTGTTCTATAACTTTTTCTTTTGAAAATAAACTAAAATCCCACTCTTCCTGGATGTGCAGCTATTACTTTAGTCCTGCCTGTTTTGCTCCAAATCTAGTTGTTATTGAGTGTTTCTTTTTCCTTTCCATTCTATTTATTTTGTGTGTGTGGGTGTGTGTGCATACCAGTACTGGAGTTTTGAACTCTACTTCTGGCTTTTTGCTGGTTAATTGGAAATAAGAGTTTTGAGGTTTTATCTGGCTGACTGGCTTCAAATTGAGATCCTCAGATTTCAGCCTCCTGAGTAACTAAGGCTATAGGCATGAGACACACTGGTGTCCAGCAAGTGTTTTTGTTGTTGTTTGTTTTTTATAATCAATCTAGGCCTTTCTATGAACTATTGCCAAGCTTATCTTCCTGGATTATCCCTGTAAAGGTTTATAAGAATTCCCATTTGTAGTTAGCATTCAGAACAGCACTTGAGGTTTATGATTAGGGTCACCTTCAGATATTGAACCAGATATCTCACTTTTCATTACTGTAACCCCTCACTTCTAGTGATTTCTCTTTCCCCGTTGAGTCTTGACTGTTCAGCTTTTTCTGTACATATATAATTTTATCCCTTTGGTTGCTTGAGAACAGTAGTTATCAGTCCTGAGTTCCTATAGAAGTTTAGTTCTATTTGAACTCTTTACTTGCCTAAACTGATAGCACTTCTATTTGTGTTGTCCATTTCTACCATCTTGCGCTGTTATTTAATGGTATTAGAGTTTATTATAGGTACCCAGAGGGCAAGAGTCATGGCTTTCTTTCATAGCCTTAGAACCTAGCAAATATTCTGTTCCACATAAGAGTTATTGATTAAATGACTAAGCAGTCCTACTGTTTTTATGTTATTGAGTGGTAATTTATAATACTGCATATATATAGTCAGGAAAAGTTGCATGGTATTGTGAAAGAATCAGTTGATTATTTAACTTAGTTATTAGTCCCAACTTCACCACTAGATATACAGACAGTATGTGATATCTACTTGGCCTAACTTGTAAGATTGTGAGATCAAATTAGTGTATATTTGAGTTTGAGTTTGCCATTTTGTGTTGCTAGCAATTGATAGGACTAATAGTCAACCAGCAATTTCCATTGGATTCCTTGTGTTTTGATTGGTTAGAATCCTGGTAATGCCAGTTAAGTACTTTTAATACTTCTATAGAGACATTAGTATTCAAAGACGCAAGTAATTAGTATAGGCGAAGGTGATGGGGTAGGTTTCCTGGACACTTTCATATTTAAACTGACTTTGAAAAGGTGTCTAGAATTCAGACTGACAGAGAGCAAAATATGATGAGTATTAAAAATTTAATTGTGTTCTCAACTGTCCCGGGATCTACTCCAGGCCAGAAATCAAAGCTTTTAGTGGTAAGTTTCTCTTTAGAATTAGGTTCCTCATTCTGCATATACTTTGGGTGTTGGATGTATTAACTCCTATCACTTTTCCCCATTACTAAAGACTATAACATGTATCTGACAACAAAACAAAATAAGTGGGCTAAGGGAGGGAGAATAACATACTGCTGGGCATTCTAATGGTGAAAGGCATAGGTGTATCATTACTTCAGTTTATAGATGGAAAAATAGAAAGATTAGGTGAATGGCTTAGGGTCCTATAAGGGCCAAACTGAGACAGGAACTTTGATTTTCTGATTTGAAATCTTGTGACCTATATGGTACTTTAAAGTGTGAAGGCTTAGAATTACTTCCTAAGTGAAGTAGATCTTAAATTCTATAGAATTTATGAAAAGTCAATTCTACAGTAGGTAGGAGAATGATCAGAGATTAAAAGTCCTCTAGTGGGCTGGGAAGGTGGCTCAGTGGTACAGTGCTTGCCTTGCATGCCTGAGGCCCTGGGTTTGATTCCTCAGCACCACATAAGCAAAAAGAAAAAAGCCGGAAGTGGCGCTGTGGCTCAAGAGGTAGAGTGCTAGCCTTGAGCTGAAGAGCTGAGGGACAGCGCCCAGGCCCAGAGTTCAGGCCCCACAACCAGACCCAAAAATAAAAAAAAAATAAAATAAAAGTCCTCTAGTGAGCTGGGTGCTGGTGGCTCATCCTGTAATCCTAGCTAGCGAAGAGGCTGAAATCTGAGGATCATGGCTCAAAGCCAGCCTGGGCAGAAAAGTCCATGAGACTCTTAAGTCTAATA